CCAACCCTGTTTAGCTGGTTTAATACTGTTGTACGTTTTATAAACCGTCTTAAGTCCTTTCATTTATTTAGTTACTGTACAGCTTGGTATGATTTTGAAATTGCTTTTACATTGTTGTAAAAAGATTTCCACTGGGCTAAATTGAGTAGCAGCTGTTGAGCTGGTGCTACAAGGCTGAACCCCGACTGAAAGGTGGGAATGTGGTGGTAATGCTGCTGAAATACATAAAAATGTGAGATTTAAAGAAAGAGAAAAATGTTTTGTTGGGGAAAAATAGCATTTTGAAATTTCAAATACCTAAAATGTTATATTGAAATTGATGTAACATTTTAAAATGAGCTTCCTTTGATTAAAAAAAAATCAAAAATGTAACATTTATTTCTTTGATTAGAGTTTAAAAATAACTGATTTAATACTGAACACTTTGATCTATATCCATGTATGTAACATCAGCAATAGGCTGTCATGTCTATGATAAATGGTGTTGAAGAAATAATATACAAAAACCAATCTTTGGACTTTGAGCAAAATAAACTCGTCACAGTTGTGACTGAAACACTTGAAGTGTGTGGTGGTGCGCTATAAAAACAGCTACGAGGACAATGCTTTACCCACATTCTGCTCTCTGTCTCTCATGGACAGCTGAAGGTCTGTATCTGTTTGACCAACACAGGGTTGCAGAACAGATGGCCCACAGTGGCGAGTACGTACACTGCATATTGGCTGCATTCGCACAAAATCCAGTGTGACACCTTCTTGCCTGGTTGTGTGGAGGTGTGGCTACGCCTACCTTGACTTTAGGATCAGAAATTGTTTGATTTACTACTTCACTCTCTTTCTTTCCCGTTAGCTGAGTGAGGGAGGCGAGCAGTGTGTGAATGTTGTGTTTCCAGACCTTTAAAAAACGACACATAATGACTTGCTTTATGTGAGCTGATGTTCAGTGATAAACAGTAACATAAAATAATAAATGCATATGTTTTAACTCAATTCTATAAGCAAACTTTTCACATTTAAAGAGATGAAATCTTGACGTCAATGTTCAAAACCGGTTAATAATATATACACTTGGCATATAATTGACTGTAAATAATACATTAAAGTGCATCACACTTGTATACCTGTAGGCAACCACATGTTAAGAATATCACATGCCCGGATATTGCAGTAGTAGCTGTAGAAAAGATGTCCTTGAACATGTCAGAGAAGCTGAGTGGAGTACTGCAAGTTCCTTTCTTTCGTTTTCTTCCCCTCTGTCGTAGCGCTCTCACAACACTGAGGTAATCTCATCTTGAATCTGAGAGATCAGGATCTGGGACAGCACAATTCCTGCAATCTAGAGGACAACAGCAGCCACTTTAGATCACAGAAGAGGCTCTCTGTAACTGTACGTTCTGTACCGAGCATCTCAAGGTCCCTTAGCAGGGTGCTGCAATGTGGCGCTGGGAAGAAAGGTTCCCAAATTAGTTGAGACTGACTCAAACGAGTCACTTAAAATAATTGCGTACTCACATTTGCACGCACCTGTCAAGCCGATCATAAGGTGTTCTTACAGAGAGAAACCAAACCATTGGGTTGCAAACACAGCTTTTAAACAACAGTCTATAATTAACACTTTGGCTTGTTTTGCAGACAAAGTAAGTGTCGGTAAGTGTTTTGAGAGGATATGCAAGACTTAAAAGAGAACTTCATCAGATTTACGGCACATCAAAGCATTAGAAAACTAATGCAATTGCTCTGTCGGGCCTTGTGGGTAATTTGTGCTTGTCTTCAGATTCACTGCAGAGCCTAGCGTACAGATGAGAACGAGACAAATCGGTTTAAACATCCTGTGCTAAAGTTACACCTTCTGCTAGATTGCCATTTAATATTAGCTGAAACATTTTAATAAGTAAACAGAGTAATTATTTAGAGGCAGCTCGTTATAAGTGCTAATTTGATTTCATGTTTGCCTAATGAGTATTGAATGGTTTTATTTAGTTATCAGGGCATGTTTTTAGCATCATTGGTAGAGGGGCAAAACAAAATCATCCCCGTAACACATCCTGTCAGCATCTTGTAATTTAGGTGGTCTTAGGTGTGAATACATTTCTCTTGACCCATTTACAAAAATATAGTTCATGATGGGAAATTTTAGCAGGTAAGTAGTATAAAGAACTGCCATTGCAATAGAAGGCGTCAGCATAGATGTTTGGTACATATTTATGGGACAACATGGGAGGGATTTAGAAGAGGAAGAAGCGCTTCAAGAGGAGGCCTGTCTATTTTCAAATTCTGGCATTTCAGATTCTCTAGATTTCCGTCTGCTGCAGCTGAAATGCTGGGGGATCGTGGTGCGTTGCACAGTGAGAATCAGGGAGTCGTCAGCATCTCTTAGACATATTACATTATCACACACACCCCTCTACCTCTGTTGCACATTAACCTGTACTCATTCTAGGATGGTGTAATAAATGAATAATGTGCAGTTAAAATTTTATTGTCCCAATGTGCCTAGTTATTGCTGTCTAGGTAGAACACACCATTCCAAATCCCTTGAATCACAGTGGCCTCACATTAACCCTACTCCTTATTGGTTTCCTCTAGAATCCAAGTTTTATCCCTTTTTTTAAAAATTTATTTATTTACAAGGACAATATTGAACTTGTAAAAAAGGCTGTGGGAAGCTCTCAGATTGAGATTTGTATGCGAGTATAAAGCCTGCATGGCTCTGATTGCTGAAGTCTAGCTTGGACTGTTTTCGCAGCCACATCCAAAAACGCCAGTTTGAGGTTTGCCTTTGAGGGAGCGTCTCCAGTCAATATGTTGATTGCTACACACTGAATCCGGCAAACTTTCATTAATAGTTATATTGGCTCGTTTGTTTGTAGTCTTATTCAAGATGAAACTAGTCCTTTTGGCAAGTTACTAGTCCTGTGTTGCCTAATTACTACACTGGGTTACCTGAGGCAAGGCCAGACCCAAGGCGAGAGCTCCCACCAGCAGCAGATGAGACTCGATCCACATCACTGCCTTGTCTGCACAGCCTACTGGGTAGATCGACTTGTTTGCCTCCATGAAGTTTTGCGTTTGAACTCCAAAACCGCACATAGTGTTGATCACTGCCTGTAAGCCAGATGAACAAAAGCAAAGACAGACGAAACACTGAGTGCATGATACATTGATAAGCACATAAACCTAAAGCACTCTAAATACGTTCAGATGTCGCTTTCATGCTGCTGGTTTCACATTGCTTGTTTTTACTTTGAATTGAAAGTAAATTGGAAATAATGAAAGAGTGATGTTTGTTGAGAGGAAAGAAAATAACGTGAGCAGTACAAGCAAAACCCACTGGCTCTGAAAAGAAAAGCTACCTAATCCCTGAGGGAACCATGCAGTTACAGGGTACTACCAGCAGGTCGCAGCACAGCAGCAGCTCTCAAACTTTTAATTAATAGTTTTTTTTTAGTTGTTTTTAATGTTATTTAATTTTTACCCCATGTTGTAAAATGTTGCTGTGATCTGTTTTCAGAGTTGCATGATGTTTAATCAATAGTGTGATAGATGTTTTTTCCTCGGTGGTGGTTTTCAAGCTGTGCTGCTGCGTCTGTACAGAGATTTTTTTGCGTGTATTTGTGAATCCAAAGTTTGCTCATGCAGACATTTACATATATGCTGTTTGTATGACAGCATGGATCCTCATGCACGCAGATAGCTGTAGTGTTGATTCAGTAGTCTCAAAATATCATAAAACCTTCATGAAAGAAGACTTTGATTTGGAATCATCTGTGCAAATTTACTGTAAGGTTGATCATATCGGAATATGTTAAACATGTTTGTTTTTCTTTCTTCTTTAAGATGGAAATTGCCTGGCAGTGACTCATTCAGGTACTCAACCAATCAAGTTGCAGATTCCTTTTAAGAGAAACTGGTTGGCCATTATGAGACCAGTTCTGTGCATGACAGCTAATCCCAAAGGAAAGGAAGGCAATACCAAAAACTGCTTTTACAAGCAGATGCAGACGTGTTCTTGCCACCTCCCGACTGAGAGCCTCTTAGTTTGGACACACTTGCGTACATGTCAAAACAACGCAGGTTGTCACAGTCAGGCAGTGCTGGCTATAATTCAGCATCCACAGACCATTAGCTAAAGTATCGGGTATATTTTATAGATGATTTCAAATTTTCTTTGGGTCTCTCTTAATGCCAGCTTGTCAGTGGAAAGTCTTGAATCCTCATAATCAGCTGACAGTCTCACTTCTGTTGGATAAGACAGTCTGATGTCTTAACAGAGAAGCCTCACTTCTAATCGAATGTAACTGTCTGGAGACTCCAAGGACCCGTGGAAGTCCTCTTCTCCAAGTTTAGAAGAAATACATGCATAGCTGCCATACTTTGTCTCCCGTTGAATACTGGCCACATACATATCTTGCATTCAGAGAGAGATGTGTGGAGGTGAATGTGAAATACACACGACTGGCTCGTTTTGTATAAGCGCACACTTGTGTCGACATGGCTGGGTAGCTTTACGTGTGTTATCCTTTGTTGCCACAGTCTGTTCTACTCACCAAGCTCCTGCATAAGACCCTGCTGAGTCAAGATACAAGATTTTTTTGTAACTTTAAATTTTCAGCAGTTTTATTTATTCTCTGTTAATAAAGTGTTAAGAGCCTGTTTCATCATCATACAGCTGCTTGTTCTGTTCATGTCATCATCTTTCTGCCTTTCTTGTTTCTGTTTATCATAAATGTGAAGGAGGTTTGATTTGTCAGTTGCTTAATCAAGTGAATTCGGCATGACAGAGAAGACTTAAAACACTGAACAAATTTGAAATGCTGACTGAAATTGTGAGGTCAACAATCTTAATAATACATCATCTTAAGATTATAGAGGTTTGTGTTAAGGTTTCTTTTAAGGCACGCTGTTAGTTTGTACATGTTGTGTATGTTAAGAGGCTAAACAGAGAAAGACTGACCTCCCCAGGAACAGGAGTACAGCATGAATAAGGCACACCACAGCGCTCAGAGCTGGGGTTGTCATGTGTACAATTAAAGTAGAGGTTCCAAGACCAATCAGTGTAGTTGTTCCATCCACAACACTTGAACTGGGGGGAAAAAGAAAAATGAAAAGTGAAATCGGGTGTATATTTAGAAACATAGTGTTGGTCTGTACTGGGCATCCTGCCAGTCAGGGCTTCTCCCGTGGGAAAACCCAAACTCCTAAATGTGCCAGCATGTGCAGATGGAAGAGCAGTTTCACATGAGGTGACCCACAGAGAACAGGAACTGTAAGTTGCATGTAGCCTCCTGTGGAAACCCTCGCTAAGGCAAAAAAACAAACAAAACAAACTGCGGTTTCTTGCTTTAGTCTCAGATGCATCCAATAAACTATCTGTGATCAGTTTGAAGACTTCTACAGACAAAAGGAGCCACTCCGGCTCAGTGGAAATGGCCAATGAGAGCACCTCTTTTTGAATGTAATCCATCAGGTTCTGCAGATCCAGGTCATCCCTGTAGTGCACAATTGCTTTCTTTACAAACTTTCCCAAAGCATCCCGTGCCTAAGAGAGAGGAAAAGGCTGATTGAATACACAGAATAACAGCTTTAATATCAACATTTTGCATGTTTTACAATAAACTATCTACAGATGTCTTTGTTACTTGCCTGCTAAGGTGCTCATTGACACAACTGATCTCTTAGTTAATTACTCGGGTAGCATTTTGGAGGATTGTAAAGTACCTTTTTGTGAACCCTCTTTTGAACAGACGCAGTGGAAAATCCCCACGAAGCTTGAAATGATGAAGTCGAGGATAATTTCAGATCCAAGCTAAAACGGTTTCTGGGGAGCTGTCACACACCTATTCATAGTTAATCAGGTGGCTTTGCTGTAGATTTGATCGACTTTTTGTGGGACTTTTCACATTTGCATAAACGGTATTCATGTTCAACGTTGCATTGAACTTTTTTTTCCATAAAAGGCCACTTCAGTTTTTTCTGAAAATAAACAAATATTAACACATGGGTTTGGAGGCAACACAGCATCGTCCTGTTTACATTGTAAAGCGTCCCGCGGGATGCACGTAAACCAGGCGGCAGCAGAGCAGGAAGTACAGCATACAGAATAATAAAACCGCTTGTGCCTGTGAGAACTATACATGAAGCGCATACCAAACACAAAGCACATATGCAGGTTCTACATTATAGTAGATAATTACTTGAACGTAGCCATTTGTTATTATAATGTGTCGATTTTCATCAGCTCCTCTCGAGCTGAATAAACAAAACCTAGATGATATATGAAAACGTTATTTGACTGAGTTATCAGTAATGAGCATTTGAAACTGAACGAGGCTGATTCAGACGGTGAAATTTTGTCCTGCTTGTTACTTTAACTTTCATTGTCTGTAAGATTATTTTCATTTTCAGAGTATTAACGAGGGCTTGCATTGTTAATATTTGTTTTTGCTATTCTTCCACCCTTTAAGACGCTGAGAACAAAGAGGGCCATGGTTATACAGGCTGAGTTCAGATGTAATATATGCTGATAGGAGCACTGTATGATAATGAGCCACTGAACTTTAAATTCTCATTAAAACGAACTTCTCTGAATGCTTTGCTAAAGGCTTTGTGAATTGTTCGCATTACAAACTACGTTAGAACAGGTTATGTTGATAAATACTGTGAGCACTGTCAAAATAGCCCAAAATGTTATCCTGAAGTAGTTTTGTTAATTTGTGTTAGGATTTTTACAATGTTCCTTACGCTCACCCTGTGCCTTCCCCTGTTTCTGTTCCCACGTGGTGCAGTTTGCTCGTGGGCTTTGGAGGCTACCGTCACAGTGTGTCATTAGCGGCAAAGTCTCCTTCAAGGGATCTGTTGAAATGGAACATTTGGTTCCACTTTGAAGTGCCGAAGCATTTGAATCATTTAGCGAGGAAGGATGCTGGGAGGGTTGTTAAACTACTCTGTTTAGCAGCAGGCAGTCGGAGTGCTGACAGAGAACACAAGGGAGAGGAGAGGTATCATCAGGCACCAGGATCCCCGCCACTGATGACAGCGAGTGCTGCCACTGCTGGCTGTTGTGGTTTTTATTCTCGGTGGAGCCCTAATGGGATGTTAGTGAAGGGGATAAGTGGAGGGGGATCGTTCTCATCCCCGTAGTCTCCAAACCAATCAATTGGGTCATATAAGTATAAGATATAGGCTGAGATATAGTACTGTAGTACATATGTACATTCATGCAGCCACAGAGTAGATCACCTATGGTCACAAAAACAGACATTTTTAATGTATCTAGACCTGGAATTAAACTTATTATTAATGTATAATAAAAAACAATCGTTAAAATTCTTTTTTTGTTTTAAATTGTTCTAATTGTATCAATTAGAGAGGCAGGAGACAGTCTGCGAATGAGACTATTTAGTCAGGTTGACTTAATTCTGAAATCAATAAAAGCTGTGGTCTGTGGGAATAACTGCAAAACAAACGCATCAATGCAAAGACCAAACATGTCAGCGAGCTCAATAAAACTTTAACTCCAGTGGTCAAAGGTACTGGTACTGCTACTGGCACCATTATTTATTCATATACATAGAGACGTAGTACGTTCAAGTTTATGAGTTTTCCTGGAAGCACACTCTTGATTCTTTCCATTGTCCCCAGGTGCCAACAATTAGCTCACTGAACACAGTGCTGTCGTTGCCGTTATTGCCACTAGCATTTAAAACTTTGCCACAATAAACCCAAATAGTTTTTATATCCAGTCACTTCAAATCACTTTGTAATACAGAGAGAAAGTTCTCGCGTATTTTCTGTCAGTACAGAACAAGCCTGAGTCATTTGGAGGATTTATAGAGAGTGACACAAACACTGATTCTCACTGGAAGCTGGCGTATATGCCGTTCTGTTTCCTGTGTATGCTGTGCAGCACAGACATTAACAAGACATTTCCCCTGTGGGCTAAGCTGGCCCGTCTGTGGGATCAGATGTCTGCCTTATTAAGTTGCATATACTGCAGTTTACAAATGTACAGAATGTCCAAAAGCCGGGAAATGACACCATAAATCAATAGTGCTCATTGTTATCACTGGAGCCTGAATGTGGCCTTAAATGGCCCCGTAGAATAACTGAGCCAGCGCACAGAACAGTCTGTAAAGATTCAGATACCTGATCGGAGTAAAAGAAGCCCAGAATCGCTATGGCCAGCTGGGTGAGGAAGACCAGTGTGAGGCTGAAGGAGAACTAGGGAGTAAAGACAAAAATATTAAAAGGCTGTGACTAATATCATCTTAAAGGACAGATTAGTTGTTACACATAAGATGTGAGACTTGGCTTTGGATTAGATGGAAGCAAAACACTGTGCCAGTATTTGTAATGTGTCTGTGAGGTCTATTACTGTCTTGAGGAGGCGAATGTTCTCTCTGAGAGCTCCGATACAGCCACAGAAAGTGATGAAGAACATGACCACCCCCACCACGATTAAGATGACAGCCGGGTCGATCAGGAACGTGTCCCTCACCGTGTCTGGCAGAAAGATGGGAAAACAGCCTCTGTTTGTTTCCAACCCCAATACCTGATTTTGATTTAAATAATTCCATCAGGTACCTTGTTTCCCTGTCTTTGCAGCATCCCTTCCTACGCTAGCAGCTAATGATCTATTGTGGGGTTGTGCACGATGAACACAGGTAAAAAAATTTTGGTTGTCTCTCAACTATATATATATCTCATAGTAATTACAACATTAAAGACACCAGGTAAAATGAAGGCGAAAGCCTGACACACATTTGCTTTGTGCCAGGAAAGCTAAACAGTTTACGATCCCAAGGAGAGTGCCACCTCATTCCTGCACCTCTTTTATGAGGGACGGTTTATCGCTGGTCTTTAATTCACTTTGGAGTTTAGGAGGTGTGAGCGAAAAGTGTCGTCTTGCGTACCTGTGGCCTTCTGGACTTTAGCATACACACCAATTGCAACAATCAACAGGGAGAAAACCTGGAAAAAAAAAGAGATGATTTTATTGTTACCAGCAATTTTTATTTATTTTTCACCAGCAAAGAAAGCAAGTAATTCTCCTCTATCGCGTTTGCTGTCTGTCCTTCGTATTCTGCTTGGGAAATTCAACACCAGCTACTTCTAAACTGGTAATTAATTAGCAATAGCAAAGCCCAGAAAATGCAGTGTATTTGTAATTTATCCAGGTTGAGTCTTTATTTGGATGTTTGAAAAGTTGCTGAAAGGAAACATGTTCCTTCCAGGGTGCCGACTCGGACTTTTGTTTGCAGGACAGGTGTGATTAGATTAGTGATGATAAGCTTTTTCCTCAGGTGCTGAGTAGGCAGAGCACCCGTTGCCATGGTAACTGCATCACTAGTTTATGTGTTGGCGGTAAACGGACAGATGGATATCAACAGGGAAAAAAATAATAACATATGGACCTCGGTTTAATGTGGAACCTCGCAACAGAAATCAGACTCAGTCCACCTGTGACTGCGATGGAAATCCTCCAGAACTGAAAAATGCTCTCTCCAGTTTTTATCAGGATTTATAGAACTGCGAGAAGAACTCGACCTTGGTTAGAGAATTGTTTTTATTATCCACCCTAACTTCACTTAGTTCTTGACTGTGATGTGTGTGCGTGCGCTTCTTTTAAACAGTGTTACCCAAACGTGTTGTGAACTGCTGAAGAGGTGAGTTCATCCAAATAGAATCGACGTATTAAAGGAGCCAAGTGAGTGGAAAACAGGTGGAATTAACGCTTCCCGTTGATTGCATTGTCAACATTAATTTCCCTTCTCTCTGTGATTGCTTTTCTCACCTTGAATAACAATCTGTGCGGTCCTGGCTTCCATTTCCAGCCTCCGAATTCACAGACATTCTCCTGATTACTAATTTGTGCGTGTTTGCTTTTGTGTATAAAGGATGCATTTTGTTCAGCCTTTATAAACACAGATTTGTTTCCGTCTCAGAAGCCTGTATTGGATCTCTAGAGGTGTAATTTTCCTTGAAAGAGGTATAATTTTTCCTTGGCCAGCCTTCATGCCAAACCGGTGTTTTGTGCTCTGGAGATGTAAATTATTGCATGACAGGATATGGTACTATTTTTTGAATCAATAATCTACCTTGACAAGAGAAAAGCTGCCAAAACACAAAACGTGGATAGCGCCTATTTTCTTTGGAAGTACCATTGTACATTTTTAAGGGGTATTTTCTGACGTGTAGGAGTGTGCGCACCTGCAGCTCCTTTTGTCAGTTTTCCACTGACTGTGCCTTTTGTGAATGAGGGTGGCATTTGCAACAGGAGACACACTTACACAGTGAATGTATTCCAGCTCTGTTTTTCAGGCTTTTCAAAGGGATGAATCAGACTTCTCCCAGAGGATTTTGTGTGGAGGTGAAAGCCAGCTCAACTGAGCCACGGGGACGTGGGGACAAAGGCCTGATGGATTAGGGCTGCAGTGTTCGCTCCTGAGCCCATGTCTGATAAACAAAGTCAACACGGGCTGGGGTATGAGGCTGCTGCGGGTGCAGTTATTGCTGATTGGCTCTAAACACAGTAGGAGCACAGTACAGTGTTTGCCCCCCTGCTGTTTTTGTGGAGGATTGGATGAACGGGGATGTAATGGAGGTGTAGGGAGTTAGCAGAGTTAGAGATGTGATCTGTGTGCTCGACTTGTAATGTGCTGGGAAAGTAAGTGAGCCAAACAGCTCTATTTTAATAGTGTGTGTTTTTGTGCGAAAGCAACTGCTCATGGAGGACGCGGTGCTTTAATGGCTGCTTCAGTGTATCCGCTGTACCTTTCTATCATTTCCCAGTTGTCTTGTTGTCTTTTTGTTACACTAACAGCCACAGTAGAGGAGCATGTATAATGTAAGACTTGCACAAAACGCATAATGATTATGTCATATCAGCAGTGCGTGCATGCCTGACATCTGTTAGAAAATAAGCGATTTAGGGCACCTGTCCTTGAATACGGGAGAAAAGGAAGGTGTGATGGTGTGAGCGACTGACAGGGGCTGAATTGTGACTGGGTCATATCATCTCCTGTGCTAGTGAGCAAAAAACATATAAGCATCCATTAACATCAGCGTGCTCACACATTTATGCAGTTATGTATCCACTATACTGCCTGAAATGTAACAGTTTATCTACCATTAAGAATATCGTTCAAATATATCAACCAATTTATTTTCTGTTTCACCAACACATCGAGCACATCAACGACTCGTCCACCAGGTCACCAAAGAACCTGGGACAACATCTAAAGAACTGCAGGCCTCACCTGTCTCAGCTAAAGTCAGTGCTCACGATTCAACAATAAGAAAGAAACTGATGTCGAAAATGGCATCCAGGGGAGAGTTACAAGGCGAAAACACTGCTGACCAAAAAGAACACTGAGGCTCAAATTTGCCAAAAAAACCCAAACAGTAACATGCTGATGATCCCAAAGACTTTTGGGAAAATATGCTGAAGACTGACAAGATAAAAGTTAAAATTGGTGGAATGTTTGGCTTAAGACAAACACAACATTTCATACAAATAGTAATATGATTGTCTGGGAGCCTGTAAATGTCCATCCATCAGCTCATGCCCTGAAGTTTAACCCTTGTGTTGTCCTTGGGTCATTTTTGTCCTCTAAAGAAATCTTTTGCTAACAGAAGTTATTCATTACTATGCTGTGCATGATTGGAATAAGTTTCAAGTAATTAGATTTATTTATGGGGTTTTTATTGGATTCTATAACACCTGTGGTCCTCGTAGGACAAAAATGACCCCAAAGTACAAAGTGTTGCAAAGGGTCATATTTTCACACCATACTGCTTTCAAACATCTTTGATCTTGGATCACTGATGTGTGGGGTCAAGCACTGGTCATAACAACCACAACAACAACAACAACAGGCAGCACAATGAGGAGGCAGGTGCTCTATATTCAATGGAATTTTATTTACACAGCGCCGAATCACAACAACAGTCGCATCAAGGTGCTTTGTATTGTAAGGTAGACCCTACAATAAAACATACACAGAAAGTATGCTCACAAGCCTCCATTGCACTGGAGATTTGCATACTTTGATGAGCATACTTTTTTTTTTTTTTGCAATGAGCAGAAGAACAAAGCATATATTGTCCTCTAGTATAATGAGGAGGGAGAATCAATGTTCAGGAAGATCCAGGGTTGGAAGATATAGAAAATATTGTCAATATTTAGAGCACATGCTACCCTTTCTCTGAAAAAGCACATCAGCCACCTGCAGAAGTGGAAGAAGGCTATGAAGTGAAG